CAAATCGACAATACGCATATATTTATTACTTGTATTGCCCTTTTCGCTGAAAACATGAACATGTCTGCTGACATGTGTCAGATGTTAAGCTTACTCAATGTATGGTATACACTGTACATACAGATAACGACGGAATAAGTGGCCCTGTGGTACTAAAATTTCGTATTGATTTAAGTATTCTACTTTTCGAAGTAGTTTGTCCCAATACAAATTTGAAGTGCTATTTCGAAGTACCACAGGGCCACTTATTCCGTCGTTATCTGTATTTAAAGATGTGATTTTTGTTTGGGACGGCTCGATGATTGGTTCAAATTTCTCAACAGTGTTATTTGATTGGCTCGGCTATTCTAAAATGCAATTGCCTATTTCAATATTCTGGCCCAAAACTCCATTTTGGGGCCAAATTCACAGTGTCAATATCTGATTACAATTGAACTATGCTTGACTGTGAAGAGTTTTAACCCAAATATCCAATAATTCAAGGTGGGAATTACTCCATGGACCTTTCCCCTCCATGTTGAAAATGTTATTTTTGATTCATCCCATTTTGCCAGAAAAGGGAATATTGTTGTCGAAATGTTACTAATTCTTTCGATTCTACTGGGAAGTCCATATTGGAATGGATTTGACATATATCGTTCGTGTACAACTTGACCTTTGGCTTCCATTCGTTCGTGTGCAGCAGATCATCAATTGACTAATTGAGCGTTGTAGAGAGGAATGGCCGAGTTTCATTTGAAACGTCAACATACTACGGCAATGTGCACTATTGTGCTCAAATTACAGGCACTATATCGAGGGTTTCGCATTCGAAACGAGTTGGAGACGGTGCTGCACATTTTGGCACTAAAGCGGTCGATTCGCCTAAATTTCACGGCCGCGACCCTCATACAAGCGTGGGTGAAATGTCGTCTTGCTCGTCGTCGCTACCAAACCATCCAAGCCGCCTGTATCAGGCTTCAGGTTGATCTATTCGACGTTAGAGAATTCGATTCAACTGTCCTCTTTACATGCGAAACGAGTAGAAATGGATGCGACGCCAGTTGTGTTCGATGCAAACTCAGCTAGCGATCGCCGCAGCAAGGCGACTTCAGGCGGCAGCTCGGGGGTTCCTTGTCCGTCACGAGGTAGGTGTCTCTTTGTTTGGTTCAAAATACTGTCGAGATAGATGCATTAGCCATCGTTAGACGACTACTAAATTTTTATTAAAAATTTTAATCCATTTTTTTATTATTTTATTATTTTTGTTTTTAATAAAATCCATTTTTTTTAATTTGTTAATATTACTACTATTAATAGTACAACATTTAGTACCATATTACGATCATGTTGTTATGGTTTATTCACGGGAAACCCATGTAAATCGACGTAGGCATCGGGGAAAGCGTTGCAGCACATGCTTGTGGACTTGGAACGACATGCTGACATTCACACCCAACACGAAGGCGAGGATATGGTGCAGCACAATCGACGCGTGCTGGAACTGCACCCACCCCCTCGACTTGTAACTACTAACTACTACTACATACATAAATGCATTACCTATATTGATATCTAATATCTTATACCGAACGTTTTGCATACATGCAGGCCTCGCGCCATACGCTGTTGGCAGTCAAAACGACAACACCAGGCAATGTCCTCCACCAATCGACGTGGAGTTTGCAGTTTTCAAAATTGCAGGTGAGACTTTTACTTCATCACGTACTTGTGCACTATGATAATCTTATGCGGGGGTTAGGACATGCTATTGGACCAAGGGCGGCACATGGTTTCCTTTGAAATTGGCGATGGGCATGCAGTAGCGCTGACAGATCTCGGTCAAGTGTATACGTATGGTCGGAACGACCAAGGCCAATGTGGAGCTACGATATCTCGATCCATGGGTGACGCCAAGGGCAGTTGCCCTCGTCCTATTCTCGTCCATCCTAGATGGTTTCAGGTACATACATCCTCACTCATCCCAGTCATTCGTGTCTACAATTTTTGAACCAAGTACATGTGATTACTCATTGCAGGGTGCCAAGATTGCCAGCATTGCAACTGGTGAAGACCATACAGTGGCCTTGACGGACGCCGGCGTCGTGTTCACGTGGGGTGGCAACCAGTTTGGGCAGCTCGGACTTGGTCATTTTCAAAGGAGTCTGGCGCCGCAGCAGGTCACGAGGGCCGTGGGGGTGCTGCGCCTCCGGCGGGTGACATCCGTCGCCAGCGGATCGTTTCATTCGATTGCGCTGCTCGAAACAGGATCGATCTTAGCTTGGGGGACGACTACGAATCCAGTAAAAACAAGCATCTACCATAGAAAACCCCATGGCTAGGATTGCTGAACCATGTATATTCCTTTCATAGGCCTCGACGGATGAAGCTATGTCATCGTCAGCTACACAGCCGGCGATTCCAAAGTTGGTGAAAGCGGCCGCCGACGCCCCCGTGAAATTCAAAACCATTGCGTGTGGTAGCTCGTTTTCCGTGGCCATTTGCGACAGGTACGTGGCACACGTCTGTCCCCGCCCACTCCCTGATAAACAACTTCCCCTTGATATCTGAAACGATGTATGGTGCAGAGGGCAACTGTATTCGTGGGGCCATGATTCAGCATCTGTGGGGGCGTTGGGGTTGGGGGAGTCTATCGTACACCGTTCAAGCCCAACGCGACTCCCCATTGGCACGCTGGACGGTCGCGAATCCAACAACTCTGGGGTTCCTTCCTTCAACCAAGTGCGTTGCGGAGTCCACCATGCCGCCGCGGTCACCACTTGCGGTACTCGGGTGTTTGTATGGGGTAGCAACCGACACGGACAAGTACGACACCACACATATCTTCTATTTTATCGTGTATTCCCAAGGAAGTGACGTTCATCATGGGTTTTACTCCTGAGTGTAGTTGGGTGTCCCCGCCAACCAGCGGGGCCGATGGAGCGGCGTGCGCTTGCGATGCATTGAAAACATGGGGGCGGTGCTGGACGTGCTCGTGGGCTCCTACAGCACCGCCGTGGTCGTCTCTACGAAGAAGGGCAGGCATGCCGTGTACGCGTGGGGTGAAGTGGGGCAAGTGAGTGTGCTGGAGTTTGACAAGTTCGACGTCTCAATATCATCATCCCCACTGAGTCCCGATCGACCAAAGTCCCCCACATCCCAATTCATGAACGACGGCCGGGTACTCTTGCTGGACGGGAGTAACAGCCGCCGCCAAACTTCGGCAGATGCCGTACCCCCCAAGGTATTGCCTTGCTCATGTTGTAGAGTGATTTGGAGGGCAAGTGGTCAAGTCTGTTTTGTCCTGTAGGTGGCGTGCTCGTGGTCGGCTAGAACGTGTGTGTATTGGACGACCTTAGCCACCGGAAAGAGTTATCACAAGAGGTCACGAAAACGAAGCGAAGCGGTGTGTCGTCCGCCCCTAGTGTCGAGTACCCCAGCGGAAATCGTGCGGTTCGTGCTAGAACTTTCCTCTACTTGCAAAGAGCTGGGTCATTTCGCCCATGTTCTTATCGGAATGCGTCGAATACAAAAGGAGATGTGATGGCGCTGATGTACTGTTAGATCGCCTGAATACGCTGAAGTGTCGTCCGCTAGCAGCAACAAAGCTAGCAGTGTTGTGGAGGTGCTCGCCTTTGAATCCTGTGCAAGTTGAGATTGTATTGGATTGACTGAGTCGGTTGTATGGTAGGCTGTGGTGGAGCGACCACCAGAACCAACACAAAATCGAGTGTTACCCATGCCGAAGGTTTCGACCAAGCCCGGCACTCCAACGTCGACACGAACGAGCAGCAAAAGTGGTAATATGCGGATTTCACATCCTAATAACGACCTCCAACGCAGGTCTAATGGGGGTGTATATAGTCTTTGGGGCGAAGGTCGGTGGCACCATTCCACGCCAAGAGTACTTTTCCAAAGCTTAGCCAAGAGAGTGATTTCAATCTTAACGTAAGACGATTGAGCGAGCGATTCGTCTTCGTGCATAGGGACACGAAATTGCTGTTGAGTGTTCCTAAAAATAGATGGACCAATCAAACGAGATCATTCGTCATCCAACGACCAATCAAAATACAGGAGCGGGTTGAAATATTTTTAGAACGAGCCGCACTCGCATCAAAATGGCCGGTTGAGGTCAAGTCATTTCAATTTTGGAAGGATCCTCGTCGAGTGTTACGAGATGAGCTCTCCGACCGCGTCAGTCGTTGGCCCTGCATCCCCGACCAAGACGTCGATGGCCACGCGTATCAACAATGTGAAAACCATGGAGCTGCCCAAGGTGCTACGGCTCATGCGCGTGTGCAACGTGGGGTGTTCGCTGCTTCAAATCATCGCTGGGATCACGGGCTTGATCAGCATCGTCACGCTAAACATCACGGGCGGCCTCGTCTCCGTGTACGTGATCACGTTCGGTCTGCTCTTCCTCTTGTTCGAGTGCCGATTAACCAGCATGGAAACTCGCATTCGGCGCAACTTTGGGTTCCTGTACTCATACAAGGGACGCGCGGGGTTCATCTTCTTCATCGGATTTTTGGACTTTGGGATGAACACAACACTCGGCACGGTCGCGGGGGTTTTCATGTGCTGCAACGCCCTCCTCAACCTGTTTATCATGTGCCAGCACCCCGAATTCAAGTTGGGACACATCAGCGCGAGTGCGGACCCCACCACGGGGTACACCACCGGCAACCAAGAGGCCGCAACCTACCTGAGTGCGAATCCACAAGTGGCCATGCAAGCTGGCACGTTTGCGCTCTCAGCGGTGGGGACCAAGAAGTGATCCACTCGATGACTCCTCGAGTGCAGCTACGCTACGTTCGCCGCGTTTTAACGATATCTATACAACTCTTCATCTTTCTCCCTGCGCTGCTAAATGGATGGCACAATGTCCGAGGCCTTATAACAGACAAAAGACGACTCGCCGAGCAATGCAACATCCGAGGAGCCTCTCATAACAGGGTCGCTCCATGTCGTCGAGGTCAAAGCGATTGAAGTTGTGCCCTTTGCATTCCCATGAATTTGCTTGAAGTGATCGTTGTCCGCATAATCTAGATCATTATCCGGACGAGCATCCTCAATGTATTTTATTTCCATCGACGGAGCAGCAGCCTGGTCTATTCATTGCCAATCTTGACATGGAACCAGCTCCGCAAGACGATGCAGGAGAGAGCGAACCTCTTCTCAAGTACGAACGCGTGGGGGGGCACCTCCACACACTACTGCGCGACGACGCGCTGAGCTGCATCGCGGGCCACATGAACTTCATCTGCGTCGGCACGTTCTCGGGCCACGTACTGATGCTAGAGCTCAACGGTCGATACATTCGACGACTGCATCAGCACCACAAGCGCGTGCACGAGATCAGCATCGATGAATCAGGCCAGCACATTGTGTCATGCTCGGACGACGGCACGGTCGCGGTGTACGCGCTGCTGCCCATGTCCACCGAGTTGGACGCGTCGCGCGTGGTCATCCCGACGTCGGGCGGGGAAGTGAACATCTACAACTTCTACAACGCCGTGTACTCGTCTCAGCTCGAGCCAGGGTACGCCACGAAGCGCGAGCGAAGCTTTGCGTGCGGCGGCATCTCAGGGCAGTTGATCGTAAACAAGAAGGGATGGATCATTGACAAGGAGAACACTGTGCACGAAGGCGAAGGGCCCGTGCACTGCATCCGGTACCATGACCACCTCCTCGCATGGGTCAACGACTGGGGCGTCAAGGTGTACGACACGGCCACGGACACCCGCGTCACGTACATCGAACGGCCGCCCAACTGCCCACCGCTCGAGCTGTGCCGGGCACATCTGGTATGGCACACGCTGACCAGTGGGGACTTGGTGCTGCTGGTCGGGTGGGGGCATACCCTTCGCGTAGTCAAGTTCACGGCATCCACTTCTTCTACTTCCTCGAACGACGACACAACCACCACGCCACCGGCGACGACGCCACCCTCCAAAGCGACGCCCGCTGTCGTGTTTGGCTCTGCCGCCTTGTCCGCCGAAGTCGTTTCGTACGTAACCTTTGACTTCTTCGTGGCGGGGGTCTCTCCTTGGGGAGACTCGGCCGTGTGCGTCCTGGCGTTCCGCCCGCCAGGCTCGGCCTCTTCTACCCCTCTACCATCCACCCCTTCAGTCTCTCGGCAAGGCCAGAAAGAGACTGGCGAAGGACTGGTGGAAGCTACGCCGTGCCCCGAGATGCACGTGATCGACTGGCGCGGCACCCAGATGGCCGTGGACATGCTTCCCCTAAGGGGCTTTGAGAAGCTCCGCGCGACCGACTACCACGCGCTCTGTCTCACATTCCCACGTCACACTACCAACTCGCCGGTGCTGTTTCTATGCACCCCAAAAGACGTGGTCGTGTGCCGCGTACGAGACGTCGACGACCGTGTCGCATATGCCTTGTCGCAGCGGGCCTATGAAAACGCGCTCGCGATCGCATTGACCGACGTCCCGAGCCTCAAGCGGCATGCCTTGGACGAGGTAAATATATATTTATTCGACTCGTCTATTTCTCCTGAATATATGTATGGTTTTGAGTTCAGCCAAAATAATAATGTAAAAAAATCATGTTTTCCAGTCTATTATCAGTCTTGTGTATATTGATTATTTGGATAGCCATGAAACCAACGTATATATATATATATATATATATATATATATATATATATTCCATCTTGTTTTCGTCGATACTGCATATGTGTTGTTGGATATTGCACCCTGAAATATGAAACGGAACTGTAAGGTTTACAGCAAAATTCAATATCATCTACCGTGTGGGTCGTATGTACGTACGTACAATAAGTACCTTTGGACAATGTAATGAAAATTGAACGATTTATTTAAATATCCCATTTGTATAATTGATTTGAGATTATTTTTATTGATATTGCATAATTATATTCACATTTTATATTTCATGGTGCAGATAGATCAACGGTAAATACGATGTAAAATGAATACTATGATTATTTGTACCAAGTATTTCTATATTTATCCTACATATTGTTCATGTCCAATTCCTCTGGTGGACTGAACCGCCCATCAATCGCCGGACCTGTGAAACATGATATCTATTTTCGTTGATGAGACATTCTCATATTCTTCATTCTTCTTAGCCAATCATATCGCAGCCTTATTTCATTTGATCCAATCATCTGCTTTGAATTGTAGTCCTAGTAATATAGATGCAAAACAACTCGAACGCATGTGGAATTAGTGATATTGGATATCACGACATTCGTATCTGTCTGTTAGCTGGTCGAGTACTACTTGGGGGAGCTCGTGCTAAGCCAGCAGTACGCGACGGCGGCCGACGTGTGCCGGCGCCTCCTGTCTCCGCACCTGTGGGAGAAGTACGTATATGTGTTTGCGCAGAAGGGGCAGCTGTCGGCCATCGCCAAGTTCATGCCCACGTCCAACCCGCGGCTGCCCACAAGTCAGTACGAGATGGTGCTAAAGCATTTCCTCGACACGGACCCCGCGCAGCTGCTCCAGATTATCCGCAAATGGCCCAAGCCGCGGATGTCGGATCGCCGGCCGAGCAGCAATGGCAATAGCAATAGCAATGGCAATGGTATTGTCGCGGCAGAGTACACCAAGACCGCGTCGTTGTTTGATCCGTTGTACGACTCGAGTGCGTGGATCTTGCAGCTCGAAGTACGTTGATTGGGAGTTTTCCCCGAGAGAAGGAGTTGTATTGAATGGGAGTTTTCCCAGTGTTGAGTTTGAGAGAGAGAGAGATGTATTGATTGGGTGATTGGGATTTTTCCCAGTGTTGTGTCTATGGAAGGACGAGGAAGCAGCATGAAACACGGAGGGAATATTCCTTGTCAAATGTTGTTCATTGTGGTAGGAAATGGGATGGTTCCTGTAGGAGTCGTTTTGTTGGTTTCAAATTGATGGGAATAGTCCTCATTTGAGTAGAGTACCTGAAGTGTATGTTGTTGTCATGTGGTAACTATGATTGAAACAATGTTGTGTTTTTTTTCTTATGGTTTTCATATGTAATTATTAGACGGTGGTCCGCCGCCGCCGATTGGCCGAGACGGACGTCGACCGCATGACGATGGAGACATCGTACCTCATGGAAGCACTAGCCGAACTGTACACAGCCACCGAGCAATACGACAATGCATTGCGCATCTACTTGAGCCAGGTACATACTTTATTCGTGTTGGGTTTATCAGTGGAATTATATATATATATATATATATTAATAGTATGTGGAGAAACTCTCGATGGTATTTATTTATATATATCCCAATATTTAATATAGTTATATATATATATACTGTATGTGTGGAAATAGGGATCGTTGTGCACCAACAAAGATCACGCGTTCAAGCTCATCGTGGAGCACAACCTGTGGGATTCGATCCAAAACAAGGTACTACGATGATTTGTGAACTATATTTGGTTGTTTGAAATATTTCGATTTAATATTATTATTATATGGGGGTATGAATTAGGTGGTCAACTTGATGCTGATCGACCGCGAGTCGGCGCTGCGGATGCTCGTGCATCAGATCAAGTCGGACCAGCTCAAAGTACACGCGATTGTCAAGCAATTGGAGCACAAGAAGGAATTGCTCCACGAGTATGCCTTTTCCATATATATATATATATATATATATTCAATCGTCTGGGGAAATTTGCAGTATGGGCAGTATTTTTGGAATTTTTTAGAGTTTTTTCATCTTGGGCCTGCCTGGTTGATATCGATAGACACTGAGGATATATATATATGTTGTTGTGCGTGATAGATATTTGCACAGTCTTGTGGTGCACCGGTTAGCCGACTACAATGCCGAGATGTACGCGTCCTTGCACGAGCTACAGGTACAATAAACGAGCTCTAATTTCCTTGATATATATGTTGAATTCCGTATGTGGCTATCTACACATATCTGTTGGATGGTGGTAGTGTATTGTAACGTGCTTTTAACTTAGATATTGTGAATTTCACCCAAATTTGGAGTCATTTCGCCAAACAGCATCATTTGATCCGATTGAAGCTTGTACAAACTATAATATACAAAAAATAGTATATTTATGGCTTTGCCGGATCATCGTAAGTTTCAATTGGCAGAAATTCGACAGAACGTGATTTGATTGGCTTAGGCGGTTCTTTAATCCATTCTCTTAAGAGACATTGAGGGCTCCAGTTTCGAATCGATTGGACAATATATATATATAAATATATATATAATGGTGGTTTCGCGTAGATTTCGTTGTATGCAGAGTTTATGCCGTCGTACTTGGTCAAGTTTTTGCAAACGAGTGCGTTTGTCCCGTTGGAAAAGGTATGGTGACCAACAATCTGGCAAATAATATATATATATATATATCAAATTATGGAATATCAATTAGGCCTATCAATTCTGCAGCGAACGGTCGCCGCCATTGTGGGACGCGATGATTTTCATTTTGGGGCGCATGGGGCAGCAGAAGAAGGCATTAGATTTCATCCTCACGCAGCTGCAAAACGTCAAGCAAGCCATCCAATTTGTGCAGGTATTGTTGTTTGCATACTTAAATCCAGGTTATGACGTGGCGTGACCAGGACAATGGAGACGAATTGTGGGACTATCTGGTCGAAATCAGCCTCACGAACCGAGGGTACATTGAAGAGTTGTTGGAATACGCAAGCGACCACCAAATCGACCCGATTAAAATCATGCGCAAGGTCCGTCAGAGGTCTTTTCGCCTTGTCAAGTATCTATTTCGATATCTTTGATGGCTGCCTTCGTCGGATACCGTTACTCTTTAAAGTATCATATTCTATTTTTACTTTTCTGCTTTTTATTCCATTTCCGTTAATTTTGTTACGTTCTCCGTTTGTTTGGACACTTTTTCCGTTGTTTTGATGTACTTTTTGTATTTTCTTGATACGTTTTTCGTTGTTTTGATACTTTTGAATGACTCCAGTGATATTATCGACATATTTCGAAAATGTTTCACGTTTTGACATTAATTGTAGATCCCCGACGACATGGAAATCACAGGATTAAAGGCCAAAGTCCAGCAAATCATTGCCAATTACAGGATTCAGGTACCAGCCAGCCATACATGATGGATGTTGTTCCGTGTCGTCGCACACGTCTTATGCGACAGAGTTTTATGCTCCTTTTGTAGCGACTAACTCTTATGTGTGTAAACTCTTTTTTTTATATCTTCTTAAAAAAGGATTTTTTATTAAACTTTTATCTTATTTTTCAATAAATAATCAAATTTTATTTTTTTATTAGTGAATTTTTTTTTATAAGAAAATATTTTGATTTTTTTTTGATTTTTTAAATTTAATTATGCGTCCTATGTATGCTATCTTTTCTAGTTGAGTCTATGCCACGGGTGTACCAAGGCCTTTGAAGCAGATCGCGTCGAGTTACTCGGTCGCCTGGTCACCCACCGCCGAAAAGCGCGCCGGGTGAGTCCGGTTACGAGCTGCGGCGTTTGTTTTACGCCCATGAAACCCATTCCGGTGCGTATTTATATCTTTCCAAAGATATATATATCCAGAGATATACCTATTTATATGGACATGTAGAACAAGTCGACGCATCAGTTTTGCGTGTTTGAGTGCGGCCACACGTACCACATGGAGTGCTTGGAAGAGAAGAGCATGCTATGGAAGCAGCCGCCGCACGACTCGATGGACTTGCGCTGCTTTCAATGCGACCACTCGACGCTGCGGATGGCAGCGCCAACGGCCAGTGGCGCCGCCGCCAAGGGGCTCACGGACCAGCAATTGGAACTGGCACGACTAACCATCGCCCAAGGATAAATGAGAACAGAATGAAAAACGACAATGGACTCTAGTAGTAGTAGTAGAATAGTAGTCAACCTAACTTGAGTCTGCAACATGATTATTGTGTTAATACCACAGTACCGTTAGTACTACTAGTAGTAGACATCCTCCACCGATCCTTCTTTTGCAGGTAGTACATAACTTACATGGACAAGCTGTTACGACGTGGAATCAGAGCTGACCAAAAAATAATTTTTTTGCGAATATATTTATTTATTAACAAAAAATAAATAATTCTTCTACTCTGTGCCAAGAAAGTAAATAACCTTGATTTCTCGAGCATGAAAATAGGTTATACTCAAAGCTTACAGAAATGAATAAGTATTGAATCACAAAGGAATAATTCGTTGGTTGGCACTCCTACCTTCAGTTCAATGGCGTGTGGCCATTCAAACGTTTGGATGGCCACACGCCATTGGAACTCAAGGTTGAGTGCTGACAATCATTATCTGTTTTGATGAACCAACCCAACCAAAAAAAACCCAACATCCTGCGTGAGCGCCAATTGGCCGAGCTTTTCTTCACCCGAAATGCCCCTGGAAGTACTGACTGGACCTGCCGTTGTGGCGTACGTCGTGCTCAGAATGGATTTCTACTGTAACGTTTGATTGAATGTGATGTGATAGTCGTCATGAGGGTCATTTGGTGCCGCACTCGTAGCAGCTACATGTAGTCAGACTCTGACTACATAGGCCGCCGCACTCTGACAGTCAGAGTGCGGCGGCCTG